AGGAAGGAGGCAGAGGAAGGAGACAGAGGCCTGGTAAAAACTTTTCGATCGAAAGACCGGGACTCCCGCTTCCTTCCGATTGCAAAAGAGACAAGCTCACTCTGTGAGGTTACGAGGATCAAGGTGCTTCAGGGTAACGGCCTACAAGGTAAGCTCACGTTATCCTGAAGCGAGGAATCAGGCTGAGGACCTCCCACGGAGTCATACATATACCAGGCGTGGGTGTTTCTTCCTTACGAGATTTGTCGTGGCGCCTGCGGCGCCTAGCGGCGGCGCCGCGCACCACTCTCGTCACATGGCGGGCGCGCGCGGGCTCGGCGCGCGGGCCAAACACGCGTGCATTATTGAAAGCGTACCGCTACAGTATTATCCAAGGTGTCCAAACTGGCTAAAACTTTTTAAATGTTGTTCAGGATCATGACATTAATTTCGAACATGTGAACGTCATGACCATTGAAGATTGTTTCACTTTTTTTAAAATAAATATAATTCTCAAAAATGAAGGTAAATGAAACAATTTTTAACGACCTTTAATGGCCTTGATCTTGATATATGTTGTCAAGCCCATGATCCTGAACAACATTCAAAAGATTTCGCTATTATTCGGATATCTTAGATAATACTAATGCTGGTATTGTAATTTTCAAGCTTTATAATACGAGATTTACTTAACTAAAAAATATTTTATCTGTGTGTTTTGGAAAACTTTCAAAATAAACTACAAGAATGTGCGAAAAGCTCAAAATATAATCGTCGACAGATTGCAAAAAAAAATTTATAAAAGTAATATAGTAATTAGTTCAATATCTGATAATTGTATTGCTGGTACATCATTTTCTAATCATGAAACACAATGCATTGCAAGTGTAATTCGTCCAATATCTGATATTAATTGTATCGCCAGTACATCATCTACCAATCATGTAAAACAATATGCTACAAGTGAAGTTAATACAATATCTGAAACTATTTGTATTGCCAGTACTTCATCTACTAATCCAATAGTACCACATGTTACAAATGCAGTTAATTCAATATCTAATATTAATTCTATTGCCAGTTCATCATCTACTAATTACGTAATACAACAGACTACAAATGCAGAAATTCAATTTCGTTATCGATTACGTAAAAAAGGACAAACTTATTTAGATGTTAATAATATAATGTTAACTGATAATTTAGTTGAATACTATATTGGTTCTATGGATGTATTATGTGTACATTTTAATGCTAAACACTTCGCTGCTGAAAAAATTAGCAATAGAGGAAACTCATTTCATGATTGTTGTAATCATGGAGAAGTACATCTTGAAACATTACCCGAATCTCCTTATTTTTTACGTACTTTATTTGATGGCAGTCATGTAAAATTTAATAATTTTTTTCAATGTATTCGTAATTATAACAGCTCATTTTCATTTGCATTATTTAATGCTAATTTGGTTAATTTTCAAAATAGACGACCTGGTCCATATTGCTTTAAAATACAAGGACAAATATATTATCAAATTAATACGGCAATATTTCCTGCGCAAAATGAAAATCTTACTTATGGCCAGCTTTTAATTATAGATTCAAATGAAGCTATAGATTATCGTCTTAATGATAATTTAAATCTTGATTTTGAAATTGTACAAAATCTGGAGTATATTATGAGTGAATGTAATGTTTTCGCTCAATCATATCAAATGATGGGCGAAGAATTCGAAAATAAACGACAATTAGATTCTAATCAATCATTCCCGGAATTACAATTAATATTTACCTTAAGACCAGGACTAGATCAACGTCGACATAATGTTTAAAGAACAAATGAAGTTACTGTTATTTTTTCTACAACTGCTGATGGAGAAATTCCAGATTCTTATGTTATAATACGTAATAAAAATACTGAAACTTTACAAAAAATTAATACTATGGACCCAAATGTTGAACCATGGATATATCCTTTATTTTATCCATATGGTACTCAAGGATGGAATAGCCATTTAAAAAAATTAAATAGTAACAAACGAATAACTAGAGGACAATATGTTAAGTATCGTATGACTATTCATGATGATTTTAATGCCTTCATATTAGGACGACTTATTCGTCGCTTATTTCAACAATGGCTTGTAGATAATTATGTAAAAATTGAAAAAGACAGAACAGTTTATTGCAAGACTCATCAGAAAGAACTACGCTCTAAAACATACCAAGGTTTAATAGATTATATGCAAAATATGGCAAGTAATTTAAATGGACGTATTGGAAAAATGGTTACACTTCCCAGACAGCACACGACGTCCATTGGACGTCTGAATTTCGTTTTCATTTAGTACAAACGTCCATTGACTTAATATGTATGTTTTAAAAACGTACATTATTCGACGTACAAAGTAGATTTACATTTGGATTTAAAAATATCTATATTACATCCCAGACAAAGTCTAAAATCGATGTTTAAGACGTCTTTTAGACATCTTTTAGATAATTCTTGCAGAAGTGTCTAAAAGACATCTAAAAGGCGTCTTAAAGACATCTTATGCATCAATTTTAAACTTTATGCTATCTGGATCGGAAGAGCACACG